ATATATGCGTGTGTGTATAATACACAAACAATACAAATATATAATATACAAAAATTCTGTGTGTCACCTGGGGGCTAAGCCCCCTTGTCCTTAAAATCTAGTGACACCCCTGAAGTGCACAAAGGGCGGAACGAGGGTGGGAGTGCAGGTATTGGGACAGGACCTAAGTTTAGTTTACTTAAAATTCTGTACTGCACCTTTAATGTAAAGAGGAGCTTGCTGATGACTGCAATGATAGTTTTRGTCTACGTGTGTAGCTATAAGGGAATGCATAATGGTTCTTTAGGTGCCAGGAAGAAACAGAAAAAAAGTWTATTTTATTTATTTATGCCCCCCTCCAGGTAATGTCTTGGCCACCACTGCACCTACTTCTCCTTGCATCRAAGTCTAGCTGCGCCACTGGCTTTCAGTCCTGAGTAGTGGTGTGAAGCGTGCAGGAGTGTAATCACAAAGCACCTGTGGAGGAACCGCCGGAGGTGGGACGGTGCTTGCCTCGTGAGCGCAGAACGTGCGCGCGCTCTCTCCACACACCWCGGACACCTCAGTGAATTCCGCCGCTCCACGAGACAGATATGCAGAACACCACGAGCGACGAAAAGCTCCCGAATATACTCATCGATAACCATCAAATGACACCAAACCACGTGCTGGAAGATTTAACTCTCCTGCCTCTGACGCTGACGCGGCTCTGAGCTCTGTGTGCGCGCGCCCGGACCGACCTGTTGACAAGCGCAACTGTTTACCAGTCCGTCCGTGTCCGGACCCTGCAGACCCACTGGCTGTAAAATGAGATTGGGAAGCATCCTTGTATTTGTCGCTCTCTGCTCTTTTACCGCTTATTATATTTATGAACCAATTCCAGAGGAGATCGATGAGAGATGGAAACTTATGCTGACCAATTCGTTCTTCAGAACTCTCAGTCACCTGGTGAGATAAAACTTTAGTTTTGTCAGATTATTTTTTACCCTACCAGTGTTTGTATTTACCTTTGAATTAAAACGGTGTCTCCACAGATTTATTCACTTTATAGTTAGGGTTTAATATTATTTCTAAAAGGTAAAATGTTCAAAATTGCATTTATTATGTTTGTTCTATAGAAACAGGTAAGAATATAGGTTGGACTTATTTTTTGCTGATGTAGATGTATATGCTGGTTACACCAGATTATGTCAGATGCTAATCCATGAGTTCTATAGTCCTGCTCACCTGTTCTAATAATAGATCCTATTAATGTAACTCATCAGGTTATGAACATTATGTGGTTTGCCGGGCATGATGGTAGCAGATATATTTTAWATTTTGAAATGAGAAGTGTTTGTGTAGCTTTACGTAACTTACACAAATTATTAGATTTTATTGTTTGTCCTATTCCAAATATTTTAAACCATATTGCGGCTGAAGATGTCCCAATCCATTTATTTAAAAGTGGATCAAACTGTAGTTTTATTTGATTTAATCTAGATTTTTACGAGTCATTTTAGAACCTAAATAATGTAGTTTCAACAAAAACATCAATTTCCTTAAATGTGCAGCAACCATGAGAAGCTGTGGTGCATTTATGTGCCCATTTGTGGAATGCAATGACTGATAAATGTCAGTGGTTTTGATGTCTGGCCCCCAAATTGAAGAAAGTCAATTATCCTTCCTCCCCCACCTCAAAATTCCCTCTGGACCCCAGAACAATATAATGGCTGTGCCTCAAGTGTAAGCCATATAACCATTCTTTGCTTGTGCTTCAGAATAGTTTGTTATTAAAGTTAAAAATCAAAAAAGTTAAAAACACAGTCACACAATGTGCTCACCCCTATCCCACAAAAAGCCCTCCGCACCCCCCTAGTGGGGCCCACCCCATAGTTTGAGAACTGCTGTTTTATATTAACCACTAAATATCAAATGGCTTTGAACAAATCCTGTTCTTTGAGTTGTATTTCTATTTTTGTTTACCCAAATGATCAGATCACAGTATTGTTTTTTCAGACTAATACAAGTGCCTGACTGTATACACACTGTGTGAAGATCCTAATGGCTGTGATGTGTTTGTTGGGGTCGCTGTAAAGGTTAATCAGCTGATTGGGTCATCCATGCTTTCATAAATAAACCTTCAGATGGGATTGTTCAAACTAGATAAACTTTGGGAGCTGCTGACGTTTTATAAGGCAACGTTCATGTGACTATTGGTGTTTTCTGTTTACAACTCTTTCTGTGTTGCAAAGAAGTTCACTTTTCATCAGACAAACTGGATTGCAGCTTTACATTAAAGTTTTAAAGGGACAAAATATGTAACGCATAAATCAATCCACCTTCTGTCATTCTGTCCTTTTTTCCAGGCTGACCTCTGTGAATTGGTGGGCTTGACCGACTACATGGTGGTAATGTATGCCATTACTCTGCTAGAAAAGATTGTACCCGTGTCTGACGAACATGTCGAGGTGACAAAGGAAAGGTTTGATGGAGTGGAGGTGGTGCTGTACCAGCCAAAGCTCCGAGGCGGTGACACTGATCTAAGGAGAGCCGTCRTTTACCTGCATGGTGGAGGATGGTGCCTGGGGAGTGCCAGTAGGTTCACAAATTCACTCCTTCTTTCTTGTAGTGAATAAGTAACATATACTGATGCTGTATGTTCATCAAACAGTATTGTCCTGAAAACTGACTGGTAATTTAAAACGCTGTGAAGAGGAGTTTGGCACATTTTGCTTTTGTCACATGTTGAATGGTTTAGTAATAACAGGAAGAATCTTGTATCAGAGGTGTCACATTCATATCAGTTGAYATATCCTGCATGACTCTGTTATTATAGTAAGTTTTAGATCTTTTAAATTAATGTTTTGTTTTTACAGTGATGAGCCCATATGATCTCCTGGCAAGAAAAATTGTCACTGAACTAAACGCAGTAGTTCTGTCTGTAGAGTAAGTATTTCACCGTCAGTTCTTACAGCGGTCTGCACAAACTTCCATGTAATAATACTTTTCACACAAAACAGTTCAAAACATTAAATGTACTGAATATAGGTACRTAAAAGGTCTTATTGAACTATAAACATCTCCTTTTGTATATTATCTGCCTTCCTTTTCTAATTTAGGCATGAGCTCTGCAGTTACCTGCAGACTAGATTTTAAGGATAGTTCAGATCTTTTGAAGTGGGGTTTTGTGGAAAAGTTATGAACATTAGTATCTTACCTGTTAGATGGCTTTTGAAATCATCTCGGCTTGGAAAAAAATGCTTATGGCTTGTCTGTTTAAGTCAAAATGCAAGTAGATTTGCTTGTGTACGATTGTGTAAGCCTTTACTTTAGTGTCAGTTTAGCATCAAGTGTATATTCTGGCAGTAATATGATATTCATGCACAAAGTAYGTCAGGCTACACAAAGTGCAAACAATGACAGAACTCTACAATTTCAGCAAAAATACTTTTCTAATTTTTTATTAATTATTGAAGTTGTGTTCAAATATCTCACTATCCATTCCTATTGTAAATTACTGTGGGATAAAATAAGTATAAAAGTGTTTGCTTGAATTGTTATGAAATGTTTGAGCATGGAGTTGTTTTTAGATGGAAAAAGTGCACTTTGACCATTTTCRGTCGTAATGTGATTTACTTGGTTTAATAAATAAAATATTTAAAAGGTGCACTGCTAACCTTTAATAGCTTCTCTAATTTATTAAGTGTTGATTTCTTGTATAATATTTGTGTCATGCTAATACTGGCTATTARCACGTTATATTAAAAAAAGAAAATYATACTTGCTTGATACAAAAAAAGAAAGAAAACTTTGCCAACAGTTAAAGAAAACCCATTGTTTCATCAGTCTTTGAAATTTGAGTCCTACCTCTGAATGACATCAGATTGTTTATGTTTCTGAGATTAAAATGTTGTCTGAGCACAAACCTTCAATGTCAGCTTTTATTTATGGTTCAACTTTAATCTTCTGTCTTCTTCAGGTACCGCCTTGCCCCCGCTTACCACTTCCCTGTCCCGTATGAGGACGTTTATCGTGTGGTCAAACATTTTCTCCAGAAGGGGGTGCTGGCCCAGTACTCAGTGGACCCAGAGCGGGTTGCCGTGTCGGGGGATAGTGCTGGAGGGAACCTTGCAGCTGCTGTCTCCCAGCAGGTACTGAATATATTTTGGCAGCTATATTATWATTCTGGTTTACATAAAATAATTTCAGTACAAGATGTCAGGAGACAAAGAGAATGTGTTTGAACAATAACAATGAGTTTCCTGGAACCATAAGATTGTTCAGTATTTTATTTTAGCAGTGATCAGAATCCATTAGTCAGGTTTGACAAAGCTGTAAAGACTTTTATGCTTGTTATAAAACTGCTGGCTGCTTTTAAATAATGTAGATGCACATTCTGACAATGTTTAACCCTCGGGAAGTAAATTTGCCATGACACTACTTTGAACTGAAGGATCTCATTGCAGCTATGTCTTCAGAGAGTTAACGTTGCTTTAAACTGGACTCAAATATGTTCTTGTTATTAAGGTGGCTGCTGAATGACTAGAGCAGCGGTGAAAACAAAAATGAAACCTAGAAGAATGAAAGGAGTACTTTTTTGTGACAATGTGGAAAAAGAAAATCTATATTTTTGTAATGTTGTGAGCAGTTCAGGGTAAAAAATAAATGCTKAATGTTTCAGTTTCCCGGTAAAGTTTGCTCATAGCAGTTTAGTGTCTCACTTTGCTGATGAAGCATTTTAGCTTTGAACTACAGCACAAAGAGAGTTTTTATTTTAGTTTAGGGAAGAGTAAAAATAGAGTTACAGAAACTCCAGTCCACCAAATTAACTGTCTTATTCCAAGTGGAGATGCTCTTTTACAGCATCTGCTACGCTGTYACCATTTACACAGCAATCAGACCATTATCCTATTATCGCTGTGAAGAGAAATAAAAGATAAATTGATAATAAAATATTAAACATCTGTTTTGGTGCGCTCACTCTTACTTTATAAATATTTGTATTTCTATTTTAGAGGCTGGTATTTCAACACACAAGCCCTGTGGAGACTCATAAAATGAGTGGGGGAAAACTCAGCGGTATAATGGACAAGAGGCACATGAAGAGATAAAATGAGGCTCAAAGAATAATCCTTAGCAGGGCTGGGAGTTCTGAAGATAATCTCTCTGGAATTTAATTTTGTAATAGTGATCTGGGTGGAGGTTTGGCAAATTCTTAGATACGTTCTCTGACCTTTGGTACAGTTCATACAAACACAGCWGACGTAGAGCTGAAAACACTGATCAAATTATCGGCACAATGCGATTATTTTAGATCATACATGGATTAAGAATCAAACATAAGACTTCAGGCATGTGATTGGTGTAAATGAGTTTACTGGTTCCTGTGAGAACAAAGAGAAACAAGTCATCCATCGAGTGTTGGGTAATAAACCTTAAGTCAAATGACTTAAGACCTTGGAGATGCTCATCACACTCTAAATCAGACTTATTGATTCTTTAAAGTTAAYGCCAGCCTCACTTCACTGAGGATCATGCCCTCTATCATTTTATGCTCCAAAAGACACGCAAAGCAGAGGATTTTTAAAGCAAACCAGTTAACGCTGTTTGATTAGGAAAGACATTGGAATTAGCACAGGTCTTAACTGTAATAGCTTACAGATCAATAAGTTTAATTTTTAGTTGTTTAACCGGGCAAATGAGATCGCAGATCTCATTTTCAAGGGAGGCTTGAGCCTGACGGCAACCTAYTGCACATGYTTTTTGTTGTGTGGGGGAAACCAGAGYACCCAGATAGAACCCGCACAACGAGAACATGCAAACTACMACAGAAAGACCCCAGGTCCAAGCCGGGGATCGAACCCAGGACCACCTTGTTGTGAGGCGAGAGTGCAAACCACTGAGCCGTCATGCTACCAACTTATGTCAGCTTTAAACATAAGTACTGTGCATCTTATTTTCTTTTTTTTCCACTCTGTTAATGCAGAAATACTAGTTTTTACTAATGATGCACACAAATGAAACAAAAACAAACTGTTTCTGTGAAAGCAGTGTGACTTTCTGTGTTAATTGTGTAACATTTGTTGAGTCAAGGCTACAAAATACAACTTTCGTTTCTTGAAACCTCTGCTTCTTTTAGTTTCCTCTGAAATGGCGTCATACTGTAACTGTTTCTGTCCTTTTTCACAGTTGCAGAAAGAGCCAGAACAGCAGATTAAGCTGAAGGTTCAAGCGCTCCTCTACCCCGTCCTGCAGGCTCTGGACCTCAACACGCCGTCATATCGGCAGAATCAAGACATGCCCATTCTGCCACGCACCCTCATGGTTCGGTTCTGGAGCGAGTATTTCACCAGAGACAAGGCCCTGTTCAGAGCCATGATGGCCAACACCCACAACARCCTCGAGTCTTCCAGGCTGTTCAAGTTTGTCGACTGGAGCACCTTTTTACCAGAAACGTACCATAAAGAATACAACTACAGTGCTCCTTCAGTGGCACAGGCAGCCGGAGGGGAGGCAGCGGAGACGGATGGACCTTCTCGGTCTTTCGCTGACCCGAGGGCATCCCCGCTGTTAGTTCCTGATGCAGATTTATTCCCTCTACCCAAGGCCTACATTCTGACTTGCGAGTATGATGTTCTCAGAGATGACGGGATCATGTACGTCACACGGCTCCGCGCCGCTGGAGTCGACGTGACGCACGAACACTACAACGGTGGATTTCACGGAGCTTTGATGTTCACCGTTTGGCCAACCGAGTTTCTGATTGCTCGCCGCATGACGGACAACTACATCAAGTGGCTCAAAGAAAACTTGTAAAATATCTCAACTGTCTTACTATTCCAGTTTTCCCACACAGTGGCGCTGATGTTAGATTGTGTGCAAATTTATCCTTGTGTTAAACGTTTTGTGATGTTTGTCTTTGTTTGTGCTCATTTTTGTATATAAATACATTCAACTTCCCTAAATACAATCAAAAATCAGGCTTTTAAATATTATCAATTTCTCTTATTAGCTTGCATGAGCAAACAGCACTACAGTTTTCATCATCAAACTATGCGTTTACAGCGTTAATGTCAAAAACAAACTGTAGGCGATTGCAATAGTAGTAAAAATAAAATGATGTTTAGCAAGTTGGCTTGTGCTGTGCATTGCTTCCCAAACAGGAACTGCTAGTTGAGCTAGTATTTATTGCATCATTTTTGGCACCAACGTGATGTGAAATTACCCCTTCAAGGATTTCAGTGATTTATCATAAGTCTTTGTGAAGCATGGAAGGATTTTTGCAACAATATTTTGAAAAAAAAATATATATATATTTTGGACAGAGTACACATCATGGCTTCCCTSTAGCTAAAACCTGTGATTGTTTGGATAAGTTTACTGCAAATCAGTCATGCTTTCTAATTCCAAATCAAAGATTGACAGCTGGAAGCAATATTTGATGAGAAAACTTTGCCTTTTAATCATGACAAATGAAGTGAAATTTCATTAAATACATTCCAACACAATAGTCCCAATGGAAAAACAYAGACCATGCATGTTGTTAAAGTTAGATGTGTGTAATGTTATATGCGTTAAAGAAAGGTTTAGTTTCTAAAGAGTTTGGTTAAAAAAGCTTTGGAGCCTTATTGTTACAGGACATCAAAACTCAATACAGTTTAAGTGTTAAGGTTAACCTCTTCCTTTGCTCAAGTATAGATTTTTATAATACAGCACAACTGGCTTTAAATATGTTGATCCCCAGGAATTACCCTTATTTAAAGAAAAAATAAATATGAGATGGCTTAGTTAGTTTTTAGCTTCATGCTTATTTGACAGCCCTTTAAAACACTTTTTAATATTTTGTTTTTAATTATTCATGTGAAAGTTCACAAATGTTTTACAGCATGAATATTTTGGTTGAACACTTCCACATTCGCAGTTGTCAGTGACTGTTTTGTTTTGGTCTATTGGATGAAAAATGTTTGCGTCATTTTCAGATTTTATGTTACATGACAATAAAATGGTTGATTGTACTTATGAGCATTTTTTTATGYGACAATGCGATAAGGACAGGATATGAAGTTTCCTGTTGTGAATACCACACATGCAGTAAATACATAAAACAGGCAAAATCAGYATAAAAAAACTAACAAAATAAGAGCATAAATTAGCTGAATTTACAGGTAAGTGAAATTTGATAGGAAAAATGGATCAAGAGTTAAAATGGTGGCCAGACTGAAGAGTAAGATGCTTTAAAAATGATGAAATAGAAGTTAGGACAAATCTTATTAAAATATTACATAACATGTATAGCTTTTACATTTAGTTCTCTGGCAGTTTTCATCTTTTGAAAAATTATTTTGGCCTTCTGAAGCTTTAACCATAAATAAATTCCATTGTGGCTTCAGCTTTTTGCCTAATCTACAGGAAATGCCAAATTATATGCTTTGATGGACCTACATTTGTCTTGACATGATGGAAAAACAAGCATGAAATCATGTTTGCTTTCAAGCCATTTAACAAGATTGTCAGAGCTTTATTCAAAAACATGTTTTCATAGAGAAGAAAACCTTAAGAAAATAAAGTTAAACTTTTTAAAGCTGGAATTTCAAAGGGCAAAGCTGAACAGTATGTGTGCGTGTGTGTGTGGGGGGGTAAGTAAAAGTAAAAAGCTGTCAAAACAAAGGCATTACACAGTTAAAGTTGTATAACATGTGTATGAGACCTAATTTGCAGAAACATGCCTACAAATCCCTTTTATTCTCTCTTCTGAGCCATTCATCCATGTTTCGGTCTTGGCTGAAGTCCTGACACTTCTTTTGTAATCCACACAAAAAGCCCTGTAAAAAGCACACTGAAGCTTTCTTAAGGTGAAACAAGGGAATCAGACTCACCTTAAAATATGTCACTACAACACTTAACAAGTAGGAATGCAATGATTAAACAAATTCACCTTTTCCAATGATTAAATAGAGCACTGTACTTCAAATTCAAGAGTATGGGAGGGATAATCAGATTACAAAAGGTTAATCCTAAGAAGCCATTCATTAATAGCATTTAAATCAGTTTCCTGAAAGTTTGACAGAAGACTTCACTTTTTGTTTTGTCACATCTGCTTCAGTAAACAGCAGGCTGGTTTGTTGTGCTGCACTTTGTTTCATTTCACTTCATACTGTCTGCAGCTGAGATGACAAAACCAGACTTGACTTGAAGGGAAGGAAGGTATGTTTTTACAAAGAAAGGAGTGATAAATTATCACGACAAATAAGAATGAAAGGTGGTGTTGGGTAAGTTGTCACTCCTAAAACAGAATAACAAAGAAAGTGTTCAAAGTGATGAAGTACCTGCTCATAAACCTTTTTGGAGTTCTTGTGTTTTTTTTTTCTCCCCAAATTCAAAATGCAATTGATGGAAAGGCTGTAAGCTTAACTGTGCAGTTCAGTTATAATGCTTATTGTTAGGAAATGTCAGTTTTTTTAATGTCCAATATAACGGTAAACATCAAAAGTGAAACTGTTAAACAAATTGTCAATATTTGGGTATTTAGAATGTTATAAATCTTTATCTGTTTTATCATAGCTTTGAGTAGACATGCTGTGGTGATGTATTTCTATAAATTCTGTATTTACCGTAATTTAAGGAAGGTCAGAGATGGTAGATCACTGATAATGATTGTTTTGCTTAAATGTAAGTAAGCAAGTAAAGTTTTATTTATAAAGCACCTTGCACAGAAATATATTCACAAGGTGCTGTACAATCATCAACGTAATAAGAATGGTGGAAAGAATAAAATGAAACAGAAACACACAAACAAATGCAACAGAAATTGAAACATCAAATCAAGAAATTAATTTCTAAAATTGTAAATCAAACACAAGGTCAATGCAGTTCAAAATATACAATAATACACAAAAACAAGGAATGCGGGCGAGAAAAATATGTCGTAAGTTCAATAGTAAAGAAAACAGATTGGCGACCATTCACAGTGGAGGTAGGCTGGCAGTAATGGTGAAATGGTTAGCTGAACGCTTGAGTGAAAAAGTGAGTTTTTAGGAGTGTCTTGAAAGAGACAATATTCTCAAGGGAGCGCAGATTAAAAGGGAGTTCATTCCAGAGCCTGGGGGCCACAGAGGAGAAGGMACGGTCACCACGGGTCTTAAAGCGAGTGAGGGGAGCCATAAGGAGATTTTTGATCTTGTGAGCGGAGGAAATGTAGACTGAATCAAAGATATTAAAATTTCATCTTAAATTACCAGATTAATTACATTTTATGTTTTCATTTTTTTTAAAAAACATTAAAAAACAAAAACAATCTGTCATGTTAGTTTATGATTTTAGTTTAAAAGTTACAGTTCACTCTTACAAATTTACAAAAGTATCAACAATATGATTCATAAACATCCTCATTCATTCACATAAAAAATGAAAAAGCTTAACAGATGACAGTACAAACAGTTTATATTAGGAAGCTTTCACTGGAAAAAAAAAACATATACAGTATGTGGCTAAGCAAAAAATGTTTTCCTATCAGTGTAATATATCCAGATGCCGGTAATCCACTTTGGTCTTAGCCCAATTTAGACTAGCTATTAATGCAATATAGCCAGAAATAAACTATTTATTCAAAAAGAGCTTGTTCAAAAAGCTATATACAATAGTTAAGATATTAAAAGTCCATAACCTCCACAAAAACATACTTCAAAAGATCTGACWTGTCAATTTAATGCAGGAGTCAGGATGATGATTGTTCTCTCAGCTCTTTCCTTCTGACCAACTTTCTAAKTTTAGTCATTAGAAGCTTTCTGAACTTGTCCCCCATGAGGAAATAAAAGACAGGGTTAATGACACTGTGTAAAAAGGCCCATGGTCGGGTCAAGATGTATCCCGCATTGATGTTCATCTTTGTGCACGGCTGTAGTTCTACCCAGGGCTGCCAAGAGGCAGCTCGGACATTTCTCATCACATGGTAGGGTGTGTAGAGGACCAGAAACATGACTGTGGCCGATGCAACCACTCTGAGGGGCCTTTTGTAGGATTTCTGGCATTGCACGTTTCTCTCCTGCACACGGAGCAGGTGGGAAATTTGTTGTGAGAACAGGCAAAGTGCAAGCAGAGGGAGAACRTATCCAGTCAGGGTTAAACCTAAGCTGTAACCAAAAGTATTGATATCACCGTTTAGGCTGGAAAAATCCTTGCAGATGTTCCAGTTACTTTTTTGTAAGTCTTTAATCATCAGTGCAATCAGTGGAGCAACTTCCACATTGACGGCTAGCCAGCTCAGCGCAGTCACGACCATGGCTGTGCGGGTCCTCAGCAAGCAGTGGTTCCTCATCGGATGCTTTATGAGCAGGAAGCGGTCCATGCTGATCCAGACCATGAAGAGGATGGAGGAGTACAGATTGACGTGGAGGATGTAGCGGTTGATGATGCAAATGGTGGGACTGGTTATTTTGTTGTCATGCRTGTAGAGGTAGGAAAGTTGGGGCAGAGTGCAGAGAAAAACAAGATCAGAGCACGCCAAGTTAAAGATGTAAACATTGCAGCTCTGCCACTCCTGCAAGCAAAACAGGTAACCCAGTACGACCAACAGGTTGCTAGGTAAACCAATGCAGAACTCCAGCGCGTAAAATGGAGACAGGTAGTATTTCTCCAGCACTTTATCTAACCCTGTGCAGTTGAGCTGCTGCTCCTGAGAAGTGTGAAGACATGAGAAAGAAGTACAAAAGTAAGAGAAAGGAATCATAAGGAGAGAGACAAAAAGAGAAAACCGGTGAGTCGTGGTTAAACCAAAAAAATAAAATAAAATAAAATAAAAAAAGCTGTTCTATGATTGCATTTTGAAAAATCACTGTTTATCACTTAAAATAAAAATTTGTAAAAACAAGACTTACCATCATGTGTTTGTTGGAGTTTCTGGTGGTGTAAAGAAGAGTTGTGTCTATGAACCGGTGCAGCCAATATTTGTCCACTGGAAACAGAGTACTGAAGATAATACAGCCTTTAATACAAACATGCCACAGTAAGAGCTCTTCCTGTCATCGTCGGAGCACCCACCAACGTCATATCATTTGCATTTATAATAAAGATTACACACATGCGCAGTCATGGTTTGTTTACATTTCTTTTTTATTACTGGTCTCGTCTCTTTAGAATATTTGTACAGTACATCATTATCAACATAGGTTGCATTTTTAGTTTTAATCAAACTGTCAAAACAGCAGAAAATATCTGTTCTAACTGAATAAATTAGCTAAGATTGAAGTTGTCCAACTGCAAACTTGTTTTTATAAAAAAACTTCCACCTTTGCAAGGATCTTCTCTCAAAATTGTTGTTGCTTAAACGGAAGCTAACTTGCAGTATTTTTTGATTTAAAGATAAGTATTTGACTTGTAATTGGCCTCCSTTCCATCTTTTTGGCTTAAACACACTATTTTATGCAATGTAYATGCAATACAAATACTTTGACATGAGGCTTTTTATATGATCACAAAGCACCAACTGTTCACAAAGTAAAACAAAAACCTAATTAATTTTCATCTCTTTCTTAAGGTATGCTTTAAATGTTACAAAACTCTGTCAGCAGAAGACCTCTGTCTAAATAAAAAAAAAATAGGAGAACGTTCTCACCTGAAAGCAATGCAGAATTAAGGCATTAATCTCAAAGACTTGCTGCCTTCTTTAGAGATTACGTTGCATCTGACTAAACTCTACTAGGTTTATGTGGATTTTTTTTTCTTGCGGGGTGGGAGGGGGGTTCCTCTTTTGAAACGAGTGATGTATTTCCTTTTCTTTAGAATGTGATATTCTAAATTTCTAAACACAGACTTTCATTTTGGCACAATGTCATCTCAATACTTAATTGGTTTGTTTGTTTCCTTATTTTTCTAAGTAATGCTGTCTTCACTGTTTTGAATTTAACAACCACTTTTTATGTGTTAAAATGTGATAAGATTTTTATCAACATCAGCTTCTTCCCTTCCAGCACACTCTGCTCACACGCTCACATTCACACACGCAGCACCTACATTACATAAACGGATCACCTTTAAATAGTTTTTGATATCAATACTCTTTATATTAAAACATTCACTCATGCAAAAAATAATGTATCATCTGTAGGCTTGGACCTTAACTTACCTTTAACAGTAATTTCTGTTTACTTACCTCTCATGTTTATGTGTGCTTCATATTTCTATTTATGCTCACTCATGTTCATTTAGGTCTGTTTTTCTCTACTAATTTGTTGCTTTTCTTTTTTTTTCTTTTTGGTAATTGCACAATATGTTCTTGTGCAATAAATTTTTATAAAGAACAAGAGAATGTGAGACCAGAGTCAAATTCATTGCATACATAAACATACATATTTACATACCAAATAATCGTGGTTCTAGTTATACAGGGTGTATCAGAAAAAAGGATAGTCTCAGAAAAAATCGCCATAAAATTAACATAGATAATAATTTTGAAAATGTAGACATAACTTTTGGTAGAGGGGATCATTTTGCTTCGAATGACACCAAAATCTTAGTTAATGCTTCACTCCTCAGTGAGCAGGGACAGTTGGAAATTTACAAAATTTATGTCCTTTGCGCAAGGAAATGTGAGGGTTAAAATAAGATCTGTCACATAAAATTAAAAGTTTAGATAGTGTTTTACATGCATGCCAAGGCATTTTTAAAATAATTAACCCTTTCATGTCCTAATGTCGAAACAAAAAAGATCTCATTTTTGAGTGGATCATTACCAAGGGTTAACAAGCATGTGAAGTGGCCGTGGACAAGTCAGTCCAGCCAACTAACATTGCATGTAATGTGATGTACTGTACATGTACATGTACATGTATTCAGTGGGTATTACATTATTGCATAACCTGGTACAAGATCATGTGATTGTGTGGTCATTTTCTTTCATTAAAACAACATGATCACAAACATCACCTTATCTTATGCAGACAATTGCTACAATTGTTCTGAGCTGTCTCACTGTCTTCCGCAATGTTAACAAGTACCGTGCTTCTGGGACCAGCCACAATCTCAACAAGGGGAGGTCCGGCCAWCAAACGACCCAACACACACCAGCCAACATTGAAGCAGTCAGAACCCTCTTCGAAGAGCAACATGCTGGAGAAGCATGAGAACCCTAATATTTGGAAACTTATRTTGGAACTGCTCAAGGACAGTGCAAACACTTTTCGTTTGGAGGTATTCAGTAACCAGGAAATACCTCTGCTGAGCACTGAGCTGTGGTCGAGCCATTTTACACCACAGGCTAAGGCAAGAAGAGAGACAACTGCAGACTGACAGGTTTCATGTCTAGGAATTATGCAAATGTCTGCATAAGATAAGGGGATGTTTGTGATCATGTTGTTTTAATGAAAGAAAATGACCACACAGTCACATGATCTTGTACCAGGTTGTGGAATAATTACATGTAATACCCATTGAATGCATGTACATGTACATGTACAGTACATTACATGTAATGTTAGTTGGCTGGATTGACTTGTCCACGGCCACTTCACGTGTTTGTTAACCCTTGGTAATGATCCACTCGAAAATGAGATGTTTTTGTTTCGCTGTTAGGACATGAAAGGGTTAATTATTTTAAAAACACCTTGGCATGCATGTAAAACACCATCTAAGCTTTTAATTTTATATGACAGATCTTATTTTAACCCTCACATTTCTTTGTGCAAAGACATGAATTTTGTGAATTTCCAACTGTCCCTGTGCACAGGAGTGTGAAGCGTTAACTAAGATTTTGGTGTCATTCGAAGCAGAATGATCCCCTCTACCAAAGGTTATGTCCACATTTTCAAAATTATTATCTACGTTAATTTTATGGCGATTTTTCTGAGATTCACCCCAAAGATTGAACCACCACCCTTTTCTGATGCCCCACCTTGATATGAGATTTTTCTTCCTGTTTTTTTGTCACAGTACACGTAAATCAGCAAGAGTTGTTAGGTTTAGTGTATTGTTTGAGATCTGTTTTAGTCCCTTTTATAAAGTTTTTCTGCATGTTAGTGTGCATTTTGACTTTAGTTTTCTAACTCCAGTCCATGATGTTTGTCGTCTCTCCACAGGTGTTAGCCCTTCTTCTTCATTAGTCTTGTCTTTATAGTCTCTGGTCTGAACTGTCTGCAACTCACCTGCAGTTATTCTGCATCAGTCATTGCAGTTCCTGTTCGGTTTTCCAGTGAGCGTTGTGTTAAGATCTTGTTTTGCTTATTGCCTTGTCAATGTATATTTTAGTTTTTTAATAAAGTTAAATTCACTTCAAGCTTCTCTTCGTCTTGGGTCCTATATGTCATACCTCACATCTTAACCTGCCATGAGTGTATGTTAATACTTGACACTACTGTACATTTAATATTCTGCATTTGAAATTGTTCTGTCTAATTTCAGTTCTTAAAAATGTGTGATGGGTTGCATTGGTCTGAGGCTAAGACACTAGTGTTACACAGAGTTTTATTTTAAATGATGAACTCACATGTGTGGTGAGGATGGTGTTTGCACATGTAGGCGATTTATAACTTTAAACCATTATTTTTAGCTTTCAAACCACCTAAGTTGTGAATTGATCCAGGTAATGTTTTTCTATTTACAGCTAAGTGTCATTGACCAAGTGAAGGACTATGTTATCAGTCCATCACATCAATGCTAAGCAGTTTTGAATCACCTTTTTTTCTTTCTTTTTTTTTTTGTTGCTTCTGGTTTTAGGCTTGTGGGAACCCATTTGGCTTGGTTCTGCTTCTGCTATCTTCACGTGCAAAATGTCAGAATTCTATGAAATCATTGTAAAGCCATCTCTTCCTGTTTTATGTCATGAGATCTGGAGTTCGATGCTGAGCAGACAGCTAGTTGCAGGTGAAGAAAAGGAGGCATTTTTTGAAAACTAAAGAGAGTTAACAAAGGAAACACGGCACATATCTAATATAAGAACTAAGAGATAAACAGAAAGTAACCAAAGAAACAATTCTGAGAAAATGACGCTTAACTATTTCAGGCAAATAAAAAAAAACTTCTGCTTTCTTAAGAGGCAATGACAGTTGTTAAGCAATTTTTCTTAAATGAAAAGTGTAGCTCATCAGTGTTCTGTTACTGTGAATAGTATTATTAAGAATAAATTTACTTGTAATGACTCGTAGGGGATTTCAGAGATGTTAGGTCCTTAAATTATTAAAATGAATATATAAAGAAAAGCAAAAAGATTGATTTAGATTCTAGCAGCTACGAGGTGTCAGTTTGAGGTTACAGCTTTGAGCTTAAGGGGGGAAAATAGCAGCTTAACAAAAACTATTATTTTAGTGCTTGAAATGAAACTCGGAAACCATAACTCTATAAACAGTTCCTTTATAAATAACTCCTAAAACAACTCCAACCTCAAAGGTTTTTATTGGGAAATGAGCACTAACGTCATTTTTCCATGGCTCTCAGTTTTGCATTGCACWCGTCCTCCAATAAAAATAAGATATTTCTGTTGCTAGTGTCCCAGGCTGCAGAGAAYAGCTACAGCCAGCTGCTACTGCTAGTTACACTTGGATAACAATCAAACTTGTCAAAAATCACAAAAAAAAAATAAAATGTAAATGTTTATAAAAAATGTGCTTTATGGTAAACAATTATAAATGTTTGATAGATATTTGATGTTTGCTCATAAGTCTGGTTGAAAGTAAACATTCTCCAAATGGAGGTCAAAGCTGGTGTTTCTTCAAAACCCTTTTCAGTCACACTTCAAAGCATTTGAACTGTCACTTTTTCTTCTTCTGTCATGTGTAYGACTTGAGGAAGATTATAGAGCCCAGTTGTTGTTGTTGAATATCAATGTGAAAAACTTTAATTTTGTGTTTTAACTCAATGTTGTATTTATTTATACAATAGTCAAACAGGTTTGAGAAAAAATGCAAAATGACTTGCAGCTATTAAACAGTAATACCCCTCA